AATGAAAAAAAAAATGAGCTGTGACCTGGAAAGAAGATTCCCAGCCACGAAAATTATTTTCTGTAGCGACGTGAAATTGAAGGCTTGGTTGGTCGAATTTCGAAATCAATGGTGGCGCCATCGGATTACAAAATGCACAAAATTTCGATTTTCTAAACAAAATTTGTTCTGCATTCGACCCGTGTAAGGCCTGCACTGGAGTAAGCTTCCAACCAAAATAATTTACATCTGCTAATGTGGAAAATAAACCAAAATGGTGCAAAATTCAAAAGATAAAACCTCAACCTGTAAAATTGGAATAATCCAAAAAAAATAGTAATGAATGAATCCCCCTCACGTGAAAAATCTGTTATCTTGGTCTTTTTCTCCCCCTCCGCCCATCTCAGTCGTTTCCTTTTTGTTCTCTGTGTTTGCGCTTTTGATGTATAGACTTTTTTTTTTGTCTCTTTCTGTTCCACGTCAACTAAAGAGATGTCCATCAATTTCCTTTTCTCGTCCCCGGTTCCCAAATGTGATCCAGATGAGGACGCGGACAAAGTAGGTGATTTCTCCCTCAGTATCTGAAGAGCTGACTCTTTTGTTGGAATGAATGGGGTGGAATTAGATCAGAAAATAGGGGCCCTTTAGGACCACCTAAACGATACAACATGAACCTCATCATTATTCCGGCTACAATTGGACACATTTCATTCATTGTCATCCTGTTTGTCCCTCAAAAACTTTGATCTCTTTGTACGAGTCATTTCACCCTTCCGTGAATTTAACCGCTTTGCGTCCGGGCCCAAATTTTTTTTTTCAAACATTAACCCCTCGTCCTCCAGAGGATTCCCCCTCCTTCTTGACCAGGCCACTTTTTGCAATATGGCGCTGCGTTACTTTAACCTCTTCACGCCGGCCGAATGCAAATGTGCGGCCTCTCGGTGTCTGGACCAAGACGCCGAGAGGCCGCACATTTGCGTTCTATTAAAAAAAGACGTATGTGCTAAGAGCGCGCGCCCTACGCGCTCCCAGCACACATGTGTGGTACTCATGGTCCTCCAGAGGATTCCCCCCTCCTTCTTGACCAGGCGACTTTTTGCGATACGGCGCTGCATTTACTTTAACCTCTTCACGGCAGCCGAACCAAATTGCGGCCCCCGGCGTCTGGATCAAGACGCCGAGAGGCCGCACATTTGTTCTATTAAAAAAACTGGGAGGGATGCACATGTCTGGTACTCATGGAAAGGTCCCAATCTCCTCTTTCAATCGGGACCTTTCCCAATCATGTGACCCTAAACCCTGCCCCGCCTCCCAGCTTCTGAAACCCTTAAAGGGCCGGGAGGCACAAAGGGGTTAACTGTGCGGTCATGCAACGCTGCGCACAAATGAAATTTATGTCCTTTTTCCCCCACAAATAGAGCTTTCTTTTGGTGGTATTTGATCTCCAGTGCAGTTTTTATTTTTTCACACTATAAACAAAATAAGGCCGACAATTTTGGGAAAAAAAAAACAATATTTTTGACTTTTTGCTATTAAACATGTCCAGTAAAAAAATGTTTAAAAAAATCAAATTTCGTCATAAATTTAGGCCAAAATGGATCCCGCTCCGTGTCTTTGCTAAACAAAATCCCAATATGTGTAAATTAATTGGTTTACGTGAAAGTTATAGCGTCTACAAATGGCGGGAAGATACTGGGATTTTAATTTTTTTGGTGGCGATCAGCGACTTATAGCGGGACTGCAGTGGGCATTCTGACACTGGGGGGGGAACTGACTGCCACTGACATCCCCAGTGACACTAATACAACGATCAGTGGTAATAAAAAGCACTGACACTGTACTAATGACACTGGGCAGGAAGGGGTTAACATCAGGGGCAATCAAAGGGTTAACTGTGTGCTGTGTGTGTTTTACTAGGGAAACACGCTGTACAGAGCCATACAAAGCAGCTTGTTGGTGCTGACGGGAGAGAGATCTGTGTTCTTTACATACAGACCTCTCCCCTGTCAGTGATACTCGGTAATCGCTGGCTGCTCACATGGAATCTCCAGCCGGGACCTGGTGATTGACAGCTGTAGCCGCCAATGGCTGCACAGGTAGAGAGGCGCACGTGCCCCCCTACCCGAGAATGCAAAATCACGCATATATACATGATTTTGCACAGCCCTGCCGCCCTGTAGCAGTAGTTCTGCTATAGGGTGGTCGGGAAGCGGTTGAAAACTGCATTTTTTTTTCCCTAGAAAATTATTTAAACCCCCAAACATTATATGTTAAAAATAGTAGTGGTCTCCCCGGACCCTGCATTCACTATATCCGGTCTCCCCGGACCCTGCATTCATTATATCCGGTCTCCCCGGACCCTGCATTCACTATATCCAGTCTCCCCGGACCCTGCATTCACTATATCTGGTCTCCCCAGACCCTGCATTCACTATATCCGGTCTCCCCGGACCCTGCATTCACTATATCCGGTCTCCCCAGACCCTGCATTCACTATATCTGGTCTCCCAGGACCCCGCATTCACTATATCTGCTCTCCCCGGACCCCGCATTCACTATATCCGGTCTCCCCGGACCCTGCATTCACTATATTCGGTCTCCCCGGACCCTGCATTCACTATATCTGGTCTCCCCGGACCCTGCATTCACTATATGCGCTCTCCCCAGACCCTGCATTCACTATATCCGCTCTCCCCGGACCCCGCATTCACTACATCCGCTCTCCCCGGACCCCGCATTCACTATATCCGGTCTCCCCGGACCCCGCATTCACTATATCCGGTCTCCCCGGACCCCGCATTCACTATAAAATCCGGTCTCCCCGGACCCCGCATTCACTATATCTGTCTCCCCGGACCCCGCATTCACTATATCCGCTCTCCCCGGACCCCGCATTCACTATATCCGCTCTCCACGGACCCCGCATTCACTATATCCGCTCTCCCGGACCCCGCATTCACTATATCCGCTCTCCCCGGACCCCGCATTCACTATATCCGCTCTCCCCGGACCCCGCATTCACTATATCCGCTCTCCCCGGACCCCGCATTCACTATATCCGGCTTCCCCGGACCCCGCATTCACTATATCCCCTCTCCCCGGACCCCGCATTCACTATATCCGCTCTCCCCGGACCCTGCGTTCACTATATCCGGTCTCCCCGGACCCTGCGTTCACTATATCCCCTCTCCCCGGACCCCGCGTTCACTATATCCCCTCTCCCCGGACCCCGCATTCACTATATCTGGTCTCCCCGGACCCTGCATTCACTATATCCGCTCTCCCCGGACCCCGCATTCACTATATCCGCTCTCCTGCATTCCTGTGCAAATCACACTGCACCCACCCCAAAAAGGTGCAGGACCCTTTTTTGGATCCGCACAAGAATCGTATTGCCTTGGTATTCACACATCACATCGCGTTTTGTGGACTGATTTCAGGGTGTTGTTGACTTACACATATATACATACCCGCAGCGGTTTGCATGAACGGGGTGCGATTCTGATGCGGAATTCACACAGAAAACGCAGCGAATTCCGCCCCGCATCAGTGTGAACCAGGGCTAAGTCGGGTTGACATGACCAGGTCAGAGCCGCACCGTTAGTCGGAGTCGCACCCATTTCTAGTAGCGCATGCACGACTTCAGGTGTGACTTGCCTAGACCAGACGCAGATTTCTTGCGAGTCGCACCCCAAGTCGTAATGACATCCAACTTTGAAATCGCGCGACTTCACTGGAAGTCTCACAATTTCAAATTCGGATGGGCGTGATCGAGACCTTAACCACCTCCAGTCCGGGACGTTTTCGCCTTAGGATATGAAGTGGTTAAAGTGCCTTCAATCTCGCGCCCGTTGCCAGGAAACCTTCGGCCCCCTCAACCCTTTCACTGCCAGCGCCGTTTTTTGGTATTGTTTTCACGCAGATGTAAAAAAAAGAAAACAGTTAAAACCTCCACAACGGTTTAAGTTTTCTGAAAGCAGACGCCCTGGGGAATAAAATGGAGGTCGTTCTAATCGTCTGCATCGCATGATATTAATGCAAGGACAGCTTTACAGTCGGCGCACACAAACACAAATTATTACCCAATTTTTGGGGGTAAACTATAAAAGACGCAGTTGCACCGAATAATTAGATACCCAACGCGTCAAACCTTAAAGCTGCGCTCCCCCGTGACAGCCATGGTTCTCCTTGTCTTGTTTACTGATGCAGCAATCTCAAATTTGGGTTGTCCCCAGAACAGTGATAGAGAAGGAACTCTTCAAAGGGGACACAGGTTATCCTGGGCTTCACTCACTTGGGGATATTTCCTCCCACTTCCTGTTACGGCTATGGGACAGGGAGTGAAATCTCCCCAATAAAAAAAAACCTGATGGGTTTTCCAAAATAATAAAGATTTTCACCTTCAGTTCTACTTTAACATCATAAATATTGTTGTCACTGTGAATGTAATTGCTGCTATTCATGCCATGACCCCTAAGTGCAGAACCCAGCAGTATAAGTCAGGTTTTTTTTTTTAACCAGAATCTAAGATGGCCGTCTCCCTCACAGCATTATTTTTGCCCACACCAAACATGGCGGCCCCTAGCAGTTAAATGTTATATGTTACTTACAGAAAAAAAATCTGAATTTTCCTCACGATCAGCATTAACCTTTGATGTTCAAGAAAAGAAAAAGAAATCCACGTTTCTATTCTACCCACAACCAACATGGCTTCCGCTCCGCCACGATGGCACGCCCGACAATTTGCCAATATGCAGCGCCGCCGAATTCTACATCCAAAATCTAAATTTTTATTCACAAATGTCGAGCGCAGCGTGAAAACGAAGCCAGGTTTTGGAAAAGGAACTCCGCGCGGCTCTTGCCCGTTCCTGACATGGCCGTCGCCCTTTTCTAACATGGCCGCTACCCCGCCTCTCTCCCTCTTTGAAGTGACGTCGATCAGCCAGCAGCCCCGCCTCCCGGCCAGTGCTCGCACACCTCCTGTGTCACCTTGGGGGTCTCTCCGGTCAGGCGGTGGGAAGATGGCGGAAAGGAAGAGCTCCCCCAAAGCCATCAAGTTCCTCTTCGGGGGGCTGGCAGGGTAATGTCCTTCCCTGGGGTGGAGGAGGGGTGCTGGGGGAATTGTGTGTGCAGGACCCACCGCCAACCCCCACTACTAGGGTGTCTGGGGGGCATGTGTGCTGGGGGAGGGGAGGAGAAGGGGGAGATTAGACCCCCCCATATCATTATTGTTTTGTTATATCATACTTTATATACAGAGAGGATCATATATATGGGGGGGGGGGGGGACTTCAGATGTTATTGATTATTAATTCTATGTATGTTACCTGTTATAAAATAATAGTAAATATATTATTATCCTAATAGTTATAGATAATGTAGATATTATTAATAAATATATGGGGGCGGGGGGCTTCAGATGTTATTAAATATTATTTTTATTATACCTATTATAAAATATAATAATAATAAAAAAAGTATTATTATCCTAATAGTGATTAGATAATATAGGTATTATTAATAAATATATAAAGGGAGGGGGGGGGGGCTTCGGGTGTTATACCTAATATAATGTTTTATAATATACAGATAATATAGGTATATTAAATATATATGTATTATATATATATAAGGGGAGGGGGGGTATATATGTATTAATATCATAATGTAAGGTATAATGTAGGTATTAATTTTATATGGGGGGGGGGGACTTCAGATGTTGTTAAATATTTTTATTATACCTATTTAAAAAATAATATAATAATAAAAAAAGTATTATTATCCTAATAGTGATAGATAATATAGGTATTATTAATATATATATATATATAGGGAGGGGGGCTTCAGGTGTTATTAAATATTTTTAATATACCTATTATATAATAATAATGTAATATTATCCTAATAGTAATACATAATATAGGTATTATTAATATTAGAGAGAGAGGGGAGGCTTCAGATGTTATTAAATATTATTTTTATTATACCTATTTATATAATGTATTAATATCATAATAGATAATATAGGTATCTATAGTGGGTGGATCTTCCTACTGTTGCCAGTAATACACTGACATAGGTTCTACCTAGTGCTTGTCAGCTTACGGGAAATAGAGTATCTCATATGTGGTTCCCTGAAAGCAAAGGGTCAGAGACCGCAGACATGCTGGAGGAAGATGGGTCAGAGACCGCAGACATGCTGGAGGAGATGGGTCAGAGACGGCAGACATGCTGGAGGAGATGGGTCAGAGACGGCAGACGTGCTGGAGGAGATGGGTCAGAGACGGCAGACGTGCTGGAGGAGATGGGTCAGAGACGGCAGACGTGCTGGAGGAGATGGGTCAGAGACGGCAGACGTGCTGGAGGAGATGGGTCAGAGACGGCAGACGTGCTGGAGGAGATGGGTCAGAGACGGCAGACATGCTGGAGGAGATGGGTCAGAGACGGCAGACGTGCTGGAGGAGATGGGTCAGAGACGGCAGACGTGCTGGAGGAGATGGGTCAGAGACAGCAGACGTGCTGGAGGAGATGGGTCAGAGACGGCAGACGTGCTGGAGGAGATGGGTCAGAGACGGCAGACGTGCTGGAGGAGATGGGTCAGAGACGGCAGGCGTGCTGGAGGAGATGGGTCAGAGACTGCAGGCGTGCTGGAGGAGATGGGTCAGAGACGGCAGACGTGCTGGAGGAGATGGGTCAGAGACGGCAGGCGTGCTGGAGGAGATGGGTCAGAGACGGCAGGCGTGCTGGAGGAGATGGGTCAGAGACGGCAGGACGTGCTGGAGGAGATGGGTCAGAGACGGCAGACGTGCTGGAGGAGATGGGTCAGAGACGGCAGACGTGCTGGAGGAGATGGGTCAGAGACGGCAGACGTGCTGGAGGAGATGGGTCAGAGACGGAGACGTGCAGACGTGCTGGAGGAGATGGGTCAGAGACGGCAGACGTGCTGGAGGAGATGGGTCAGAGACGGCAGACGTGCTGGAGGAGATGGGTCAGAGACGGCAGACGTGCTGGAGGAGATGGGTCAGAGACGGCAGACGTGCTGGAGGAGATGGGTCAGAGACGGCAGACGTGCTGGAGGAGATGGGTCAGAGACGGCAGGCATGCTGGAGGAGATGGGTCAGAGACGGCAGGCGTGCTGGAGGAGATGGGTCAGAGACGGCAGGCATGCTGGAGGAGATGGGTCAGAGACGGCAGACATGCTGGAGGAGATGGGTCAGAGACGGCAGACATGCTGGAGGAGATGGTCAGAGACCGTAGACCAGGGGTACTCAACCTCTGGCCCTCAGAGCCCTCTGATTTGGCCCACGACCTCAAAGCAGGGAAACACACCTACTATATCCTGAGGGTTTTGGTGTGCTTTCAGAAAGTGCACCACACCCACAAGATATAATATAAATCTATGGCAAAGCACAGCTAACCATCAAGAAAGACATAGGTGCACTGTGCTGCACCCATGTTGTGGGTAAACCGCAGCACATCAGTGTGAAAGCAGCCTTATAGGGGGCTCAGGACAGTAATGGCTCATTTACATTTGCGATTGGAGGGCGGCAAAACCGCATAGTTGAGACGTGTTTTTACCGCACACCCCCACCCACTGTTGTAGCGTCAGGATTCGCAATGGTGACTCTGCTCCATGCTCCAGGGGCCTGTGCTGCCTCCATGTCACATTTTGCTTTACACAGGTGGACAGGAGAGGTGACAGAGGCGGCATATACAGGAACTGATCCTCTCCATTTTCCTCCTGCAACCGCTGAAAGCCAGATTCTCCTCCTCTCACTCCTATCGGCATTCAGTGGCTGCAGGAAGAAAATGTTTAATCTATTCAAAATAATAAAAATTCTTAATTCTGAACCATATCATTTCATCGTGGCCCGTAACTGGCTACCAAATCACTTAAGTAGCCCTTGCTCTCCAAAGGTTGAGCACCCCTACTGTAGACATATTGGAGGAGACGGTCGGAGACTGCGGACACATCGGAGGAGACGGTCAGAGACTGTGGACACATTGGAGGAGATGGTCACAGACTGTAGGACACATTGGAGGAGGCGGTCGGAGACTGCGGACACATCGGAGGATGCGGTCGGAGACTGCGGACACATCGGAGGATGCGGTCGGAGACTGCGGACACATCGGAGGATGCGGTCGGAGACTGCGGACACATCGGAGGATGCGGTCGGAGACTGCGGACACATCGGAGGAGGCGGTCGGAGACTGCGGACACATCGGAGGAGGCGGTTGGAGACTGCGGACACATCGGAGGAGACGGTCGGAGACTGCGGACACATCGGAGGAGGCGGTCGGAGACTGTGGACACATTGGAGGAGGCGGTCGGAGACTGTGGACACATTGGAGGAGATGGTCACAGACTGTAGGACACATTGGAGGAGGCGGTCGGAGACTGCGGACACATCGGAGGATGCGGTCGGAGACTGCGGACACATCGGAGGATGCGGTCGGAGACTGCGGACACATCGGAGGAGGCGGTCGGAGACTGCGGACACATCGGAGGAGGCGGTCGGAGACTGCGGACACATCGGAGGAGGAGGAGGCGGTCGGAGACTGCGGACACATCGGAGGAGGCGGTCGGAGACTGCGGACACATCGGAGGATGCGGTCGGAGACTGCGGACACATCGGAGGATGCGGTCGGAGACTGCGGACACATCGGAGGAGGCGGTCGGAGACTGCGGACACATCGGAGGAGGCGGTCGGAGACTGCGGACACATCGGAGGAGGCGGTCGGAGACTGCGGACACATCGGAGGAGGCGGTCGGAGACTGCGGACACATCGGAGAAGGCGGTCGGAGACTGCGGACACATCGGAGGAGGCGGTCGGAGACTGCGGACACATCGGAGGAGGCGGTCGGAGACTGGGGACACATCGGAGGAGGCGGTCGGAGACTGGGGACACATCGGAGGAGGCGGTCGGAGACTGCGGACACATCGGAGGAGGCGGTCGGAGACTGCGGACACATCGGAGGAGACGGTCGGAGACTGCGGACACATCGGAGGAGACGGTCGGAGACTGCGGACACATCGGAGGAGACGGTCGGAGACTGCGGACACATCGGAGGAGACGGTCGGAGACTGCGGACACATTGGAGGAGATTGTCACCGGCCGGAATCATAGAGAAGATGGTCAGAGACTGTAGACCTTCTACGGGTGATGTTGTAGACTGGAAGCCTGCTGCAGGAGACAGTTAAAGACTTGTTTTGTGAGATTGCTGGCAATAACTGCCTTTATAGCTCCTCTACAAAAGAGTGCTTCCACTCCCACTTCTGGTATGTGCAAGTAGCCTCTTAGCATGTGCCAGAGGGCTGCACATGGCCCTTGGCCTGCATTTTGGGCATCAGGGTTCTAACCCTCACTATATCCAAAACAAAAAACAAAGTTGGCTTGGCTTTAGATATCCTTTAGTATGGGCACTTCAGGAGTTAAGAAATGTTTACTGAACACAGCCTATCTGGCCAAAATGTTTCATATCTTGCTCTGAGAACCAACCAAGGCCGTAACAGTGACCCTTCTTGCAGTAAATTGCACCCCACTTATTCCATGAATATGGCTTAGTCCATCAGCAGAATCAACGTGGTGCAACTGATCCCTTTACTAAGGAGCACCCCCTCCTCCATTGGTGCTGCAGAACTTTGTTTATTTGCTATCGAGGAAATGACAACAGAGGAATGTTCTACTGATTTAGCTGCAGTATTAGAAGAAAAGTGGTCATTTAGCAAATTGTTGCTAGTTAATCACTTTGACAAGGTGTGGGGTTTTTTTTATTTTTAAGTGACTTTTTGTTTACACAGGTCAAAGTATTATCACTATCAAGCCAAGATCAGAAATAATGATGTCTGTGTTATTCGGATGATACTTTAACCTGCACTTTCTCCTATGTTGCTGTCACCCACAGAATCCTTCTAAAGTTGGCCATAGATTTAAAGGGTGAGATTTACGAAAATTGGAGCGCTCAGAATCTGGTGCAGCTGTGCATGGTAGCCAATCGGCTTCTAACTTTGGCTTGTTCAATTCTTTTTTTGACAATAAAACCTGGAAGCTGATTGGTTTCTATGCAAAGCTCCACCA